TGTTTTTGTTCCTGATTTACAACTTCAGCAATTCTTTCGATTTTTATTATGATTTTGATACCTGTTAAGACTCAGCTCAAACAACATTACTGACAAGGATAGATCACAGCTCAAACTTTATTTTGAAAATATTTGAATACCCAAGGACATGGTTGTAATATTCTATAAATATGGGTTCACAATATCAGACATTTTTCAGTTTTAAAGACTTTATTTTCAAGTATATAAACATTTTTGAAACACTTTTACATAAATTATTTTTTTCCTGTGACTAATATTTGCTGAGCAGCAAAATCAGAAATTAATATAAAAACCTCCATGGACAATTCTTCCAGATACAGTATTACAAAAAAAAATAAAGTTCTCAATTTGCCTTCTGGTGACTGCAGCGTGATTGTCGTAATTTGAGAGGCAAGTAAAGCAGGGCACCATCATCGATCATTTAACTTTGTTAGCAGCAATTGTGCTTCTTGCTCCCTTCCCCTTCCCTCTCCCATGCCTCAGTGAACAGGGTCAGTGAAAAGCAGTGCCATTTGTAGCAGTGAAACATTGGCCACAACTCTACCATAAACCATTACTGACGACTACTTTTAAGAAACTATGCAGACTACACCCTGCAAACGTCAATCTGTCCACAACGTAGTTTTATTTAAATTTCTTTTAAAAAGAGTACGACGGTGTGTATGACAATAACATTTTGTTTATTAATTACGTCACGCCCTCAGAAACATTATGGCCCACCCCACCCCCTCCCAAGTAGGAATGCAGTAACTATAACCTCCAAGGCTTACTGTGTCCACTACAGTTGCTATGGCAATAAACAAAACAATACATCAGTGTAAGAAGTCTGGCCCAGGCTTCAACAGATTAGTACATTTCTGGTATATTCAAACAAGCTTTCCTTCAGGCCATATATTACAAAAGGTTGCAACTATGAAGTTCCTGTTTCATTCAAGATGGGCATTTTGGACTCAAGTCTTTTAACCGAGACACCCATGAGGCAGTAAGTTTACTGAGTCAAGAAGAGAGATTTGTCTTTTTTTCAGTATAAGCCCAGAGGACCTGAGCTATCCTATAAAAAGGGGTACTTGTCAAGTAAATAGTTTTCTCTTTGGGTCCCAGTCCACTCCAGAGAGTCCTCACATGCTGAAGAACAAGACGAAAACTCATTTAACATGAATTTGAATCTTTTCTTCAGTTCCCAAAGTCACTTACTTTCAGTCCCCTTTAGAGTTTCCATCTCCTTAGGAGAGGAGATAGTGATTGTGATCACCCTTCCAGCTCTTGCCAGAGATGACAGCAGTTCGGTTTTGTTACCTCTTTCCCATCTCATTCTGTCTCAGGAACTGAATATTGGTGGGGCTGTCTGCCAGCTCTGGGTACTGTTCCACAGGCAATACATAGTACCCATCATATCCTTGAACTCTTCCAGAGTTCAGCAGTTGTTGTTTCTCTCCTTCAGTCCACAGCCGGTTTCCTTCCTTGCCATCCCTTGCCTTCTGCTGTTCTTTAGTCCAGGCATTCGCCAGAGCTCTTAGTCTGGCCTGGTCCAGCAGCCTTGCTCTTTCCTCCTCCAATGTATCTGGTGTAATTCCATAGCGAATATTTAGCAACAGTGCACTGTACTGAAGTTCAATATTTGTGAACCTTCGAGTCCTTCCATTAAGTAGAATTGTCGGCTGCGAAACTGTGATGTTAATTCCATTCTCCAGGACTTTTCGACCACTTGTCATGCCCAAAGTTGCCAGGTCTCCATCCGATGAACCAATTTTCACAAGATAGTGTGAATCTCTCCCATTGATAGTGTAATGCATTTTGTCCAAATAATATGCGTTGTTAAGAATCGAGGCTATTTTCCGACTGTCTTCGCTTGCAAGGGTGGTCACACCTGTTGTTATTCTGCCTTCCTTGACAGCAAACATTATTCCTTTTCCAATGATGGAATTAGTGGCTGAAAACCAGTGTCCTGACCTATCCTTGTGACCTACTCTGGAGAATTTCGGGAGGGAGCATCCTTCCAGTGCCATAAAAGCGTTATTGAGCCTTTCTGCTGCTTGCTGAACCCCTGAAATAAACTGAAAATCAAACCATAAAAGTTATATGGAGAGCATTTGTATCTTGGTCAACATTAACAGTGCAGTGCCCTCAATACTAGGAAGTACTGGTACAAAGGGTATGAGATAACTCTTCTTCTCCCTCCCTGTAGAAAAGTGCCTGGCTTGGCAAGCAACAAATTTGTAGCTGTGCTTCAGCACCAGTCCAATTCTGCAGCCCAGGCAGAAATTATTTTATCTCAATGATACTTATTAATTTTCTCTCCTCCTTGGGTAGGGTTAGAATAAACAAGGACTGAAAGGTTCAGCATTTAATTTTTTTTTATTTGAGGAGGTTAATGACAGAAGTATTTAAAGGAAGGAGAATGAGTGCAATGCTACCATTCAGAACAAAAACAAAGTTGCTGGAAAAGCTCAGCAGGTCTGGCAGCATCTGTGAAGGAAAAAACAAATTTAACGTTTCGGGCCCGGTGACCCTTCCTCAGTTCTGATTCTCAGTTCCTGATTTACTGCATCCGCAGTTCTTTTGTTTTTTTTAGCTACCATTTAGAACACTGGTTAGCATAGGACCTGAAAAGAAGTTGAGGAGATCAACAATTTATCTGAAATGGATTTGAAGGAAAAATAAAAGAGGACATAAGAAGTCCAGAGAACAAAATGAAAAAATGTGAAACTAGAGGAGAGGCTCAGGCCTTGTGGGAATTGGGAAGGTACAGCTTGGTGAACACAAAAGAAAGGGAGAAGATGAAAAAACAGCCAGTTGATTGAAGGATGAAAAAGAGTGGGCTTGTTGTATTTGTTATTCAAACTAAAGACTGGGGAAATAGGTATAAGGAGATATAACTGAAGGTAGAGAAAGAGAATAACGTTTTCCACACTTTCCAGGATGATTCTACATTAAGGCAAGATTTTGGCAGAAGAATGTGGGGTCCATTAAAACTTGATGTAGTCTTTCCAGATATGATGAAGTTAACGTGCCAGTTACATTGAAATCAGTGCCAATTAGACCTGAGGGAGCAAAGATTTATATAGTACCAGAGAGAATGACTGGGATGAGAGACAGTAAATTCCGAGAATAAGGGCATCGTATGGTGGCTATGAGGGAGAATAGAAAATAGAGATTTTGTTCTTTACTAAACACATGAAAGCATTATATTAGTATTTGTTGGCTAGCTATTTTTGTGCTGATCTCTTGGGCATGAGGGAAGAAAAGTATATAGATAGATGGATGAACATTTGAATGCATAGGCAGTTAGAATAGTAGAAGTCCAGAGGTATAAAAGTGCTGGTGGGCAGATAGTGCTGGCAGATTATGTAGACAAGCAGGCAGCTAATAATAGCTTCATTTAAGTTTGCTTCCATACCTGTACATTGTCACGTTCTTGGCTCTCCACTAGTTCATAAGGTGGTGCTGCAAAACGAACTGCTGGTTTAGGGAATCCGGGAATAATGTTGTACAGTTGAAATCCAAACATCACAAGCCAGCTTTTTACATCTGCAGGAAGGCAAAATTTAAACTGGATGAAAATTGGTTAGAATATACATTTCTCCTTCCGTATTTTATATGTTCCTTCTCTGTCAACCTTACGGCAAATAGTTACTGTAATTTAGTGCCTAATGTAACTTAAGTAAATGTTTAAATGGAAAAGCCATAAATTGCCTGAATGGGGCATACTGTATTCAAATAGACAGCAGAAAAGTTAGGGCACATAATTACGGCACAATCATGAATTGTAATCCCACAAATCTAAGCTACTGTTCACCAAACAGAAAGTGCCCCATTCCTGGCAAAATACTTTCCCATTCTACCAGGTATCCTTCTGCTAAACAGCCAAATTCAGCCACATATTCTTCATTCTCCAAACAAATGCTAACAGTCATGAAGCTGAAACATACATTGGAGCACAAGGTAGACACTGAACAGATTTGCGGTTATGATTTATTTTGTAAAGATTTTAAAAGGGAAGGTGAGGTGTCTATTCTCATGCATCCCACTGTTTATCATGTGATGTTAACAAAGTCCTGGGAGCAGATCATTTACTGGTACTCTCAGGAAGCGAATACTGCATGAAATGGAAACCATGAGGGTAAAACGGGAAAAAAGAACTTCCTTGCCACCTATCTAGAAATAAACCTAAAAGAAAAATCTGAATGGAATGTTCTGCCAATCCCAAGTGAATTATACAAATCTAACAAGCATTTCCTTTCTGCTGAAAGCAATGTGAACTGATTTATGAATTAATTGGTTACACATGCTGATGTTTCTTTAACAGACTTTGCTAATAGGTTGATACAAGTTTGACATTCTTTGTAATATAAGTTACATGGGGAAGCATGTTCTTATATTTTAATGTGCCTTTGATTTTACCAATCTTACCTGTAACGTAATCTTCAACATCATGCACATTGCTGAGAGGATTGTTGTTTTTGAACATGTATAAGTTAAAGGGTGCAGGGTCTTTGCCAATATCATTCCAAATGGAATAATCTGGAGCCGTCCAACGTCCAGCTAAGACGTCATAGTCTCTCTGGCTGAAATGTACCAACTTTGTCAGAGAGTCATACAAGCCACCATGGAATCCCACTATTAGTTGGAAGTCTGGGTTAGAATCATGGTAAATTTCACCATAGGCAGTATATTGAAGTTGCTTGATCATTAGGCCTCTACTGCTGAAGACTGCTAAAGGTGTTCCAGTGTTATCTGAAGCAATATAGAATTCTTCGCCACTACTGATCTCCATGGCAAAGAGATGACCCTGGAGATCATAATATAGGGAAGTGATGTCTGAACTGGAGTGATTATAAACATGGGTTACCCTGGTAGGGTTGTTAAGATCTGAATAGAAGAACTGCAGATGCTGGCCAAAGTTAGTTTTGCTGGAGACTCTACGTCCCAAACCGTCATAGTGGTATTGCACACTCCACCCATTCGTTTTGCTGTAAACGCGAGTAAGCAGACACTTAGAGCTGTATTCAAATATATCAGAGCCTCGCTGAGAAAGAAGACCATCCTCATCAAACTTGTATTGTACATCTCCAAGCCGGGTAATGCGGTCTCTTAGATCATAACGTAATGGCATGAGGCGAATGCTACTTCCAGGGTTCAACAGGTGCAAGTTTCCATTTAAGTCATAACTGTAGCGCCAGATTATCTTGTCATTCACAGCAACAGTCTGCAACTGCCCATCTCCATCATAGTCATATGTATATTTGGTAGTATTTGCATAAGGGCCAAGCTTAATCTCTCTCTTAATGACTCTGCCCATGCTGTCATACTGAACTGTCATCCAGTACATAAGTGACCTGAATATCTCATACTGAACTTCTTTGATGCGTCCATGAGTATCAAAATGCTTACTCAAGGTCATTACAGCTGTAGTAATGATCTGATTTATATCATAATATATTACTCCAAACTTCCCAAAATGCTCAACTTTTCCTGATATCTCATCATAACGGTATAAGTCAACAGGAAGTGGTGTTTCACTGATAATGGGCTTCATGCTAGCAACTCGAAAGCTGTTGTCGTGATAGGTATAATCAAACCGTGCATTTACCATGCCTTCCTCAGAGAATCTATAGATTTGCCTGTCAATCAGAGGACCAATTTTCCTATATCGGATTGTGCAAGAGAACCCACCGCTTTGCAAGTTGACCATTTTAAGCACACCTGTTGACTCATCATAACCAAAAGTGACAGCGGTGCTATCATAAAGGACCTCAGAGAGCTTGGACAACTTTCCGTATTTATAGAACACCTGGCGCCCAGTGCCCAAGTAGGCAGACTTTAGGATTCGACCTTCTGTTGTGAAATCGAATATCATCGAAGCATTGCTTTCAGGAGGATGGTAGATGTTGCGGATGTAACCAATAGAATTATGAGTTGACATGGTATGCCTGGCTACGCTGGGCATTGTGACTGCATGGAGACGACCTGTTTGGTCAAATTCAAAGATATATTGCCGTTGACTCTGGAGAAGTAACACCACAGACTGCAAAAGAAAGGAGAAAGTTTTAGAAATGGAATAAATTCAATCAATACCTTTTGGCAATGAATTTTCTGGCAATCCCTTCATGTACTTTGAGAACGTTAACTTTTATGAATGCTTCAAATTTACAGATGTCCTACTGCACCTTTATAATGTCCGACTATTACTTGTGGTGCTGAGCAATTCAACCACTAAGGAGCACCATAAGTGATCCTGTTCCCTCACACAGGATAGGTGCAAGGATCTAATTACAGCAGCTGTCTTTTCAGAGCATTACTAAATGATAATCATGTTTTAAAAGGTTTTCTTTCGTTAACTCAATGAGATCAACTAATTCAAAACAGACTGTGGATTAAAACAACAGTTATTCTGGGGTACGTAGATTAGCAACTTGCAACTGAATATGAAATATGTTTTCTGTGAATGGAGTGAAACTGGCAAATAAAGCTGAGGTATTGTCTCTGATTTTGTAATTGCGCATCATGCAGTAATAATTTTCGACAAGGAATTGATCAGCACTTGAAGGGAAAATCTTTGTAGGGTTACAGTAAAGGGTGAGATGAGTGAGAGTAATTGGATATTTCTTTCATCATGCCAGCACAGGTGTGATGAATTAAATGGCCTCCTTCTGTTCTGTATTATTCTATGATAAGGATGTTGTCTTAAACTCAGTTATTCCATTTGTAAACTGCTCCAAGCTTTGTGCTTTAAGTTATTCAATTGATGAGATGTTTGGAAAAACTGAGTGATTGTTGTCATAGCAAAAATGCTGAAATCTAATATTAAGAAGGATATGGTGGAGCATTTTGAAATTCTCAAGGCAATCAGGCAGCGTTAACATTGTGATATGAAAGGGAAATCATTTTTGACTATATTATTGGAGTTCTTTGAGGAAGAAACAAGAACACAGAATAAAGGGAAATTCATGGATGCGCTTTACTTCAATATCCAGAAGGGTATTTGACAAGGTGTTACATCAAAGGCTACTGCACAAAAATAAGAGCCCATGGTATGGGTGTAATATATCAAGATGGATAAGGGGTTAATTAGCTAACAGGAAACAGAGTAGCCATAAATGGGTCATTTTCTGGATGACTCTATATAATGCAGGGCTTGATTTGTAGTGCCCAACCCCACTGAGGCATGATAAGAGTGAGTGGTGATCTCATTGAAACCTCTAAAATTCTTAAAAGGAATTGTCAAGCTGGATACATGTCTGATCTTTCCCCTGGGTGGGGAGCCTAGAAACAGGGGGCATGTTTTAAAAATATGGGTGATGCCATTTGGGACCAAGATGAAAAATTGTTTTTACTCAGAGAGTTGTGAATCTTTGAAATTCTGTACTCCAGAGGGATGTAGAAGCTCAGTCTTTGAGTATATTAAAAGTAGAGGTTGACAGATTTCTGATTATCTCCATAGTCCTTTTTGCCATTGGTAATATGGTGACATGACATCCAAAAGAAAACCTTTCACTACCCAACCATGAATCAGCACTCCTACATGCTGAACACAATTTGGAAGAAGCACTGAGGATGGCCATGCCACAGAATGTGGTGGAGTGCAATGTCCATCACCAAAAGTGGCTCGATATCACCGTGACTGACTGAGCTGGCCTAACTTTAAAGAATATAGCTGATAGACTGGATCTGCAGCTGATGATTAAACCAATAGAGGTAAAAATCTACTTCATCTCACCTCCATCAATCTACCTGTTGCGGATGCATCTGTGTGATAGCACTGGTAGGAATGAACTCCTTGTGGAGATGAAATTACATCTTCACAATGAGAACACATTTCATCATGTTGCATGGCACTACCGCTGTGCTAAATGGGACAGACTTCAAACAGATCTAGCAACTCAAAACCAGAATCTGTGTATCATCTGTGCATCAAGGAGCCTCAGCAAAACTAGAATTGGTTGGAGTTATATCTAGGCCAAAGGAAGATGGTTGTGCTTCTTGGAGGTTAATTATCTCAGCCCCAGCACATCTCCACAAGGTTTTCTCAGGGGTATTTTCTTTAGCACAAGCATCTTGAACTGCTTCAATAAATGACATTATCTCCATCATAAGATCAGAAGCAGGGATGTTCACTGATGACTGCACAATGTCTTGCATCATTTGTGACTCGGCAGATGCAGAAGCAGATCATGTCCAAATGTAGCAAGACCTGGACAACATCTAGGCCACAAAAGTGTCAGCCATGAGCATCTCCAACAAGAAAGAATCTAACCATATCATCTTGACATTGAATGCATTACTATCACTGACTCGCCTACTATCGATGTCCTGGAGTTACTACTGATAAGAAACTCAACTGGACCAGTTATATAAATACTTTGTCTACAAGACAGGTCAGAAGCAGTGAATAACTTACCTCCTGTCTTCCCAGTGTGCATTCAGCATCTACAAGGCACAAGTGAAAAGTGTGAAGGAACAATCCTCATTTGCCTCTGGAATAGTGGAGCTCCAATCACATTCAAGATGACATGCAGGACAAAATGACCTGCTTGCTTGTTACACCATTCACCACCTTCAACATTCACTGATTTCACCACTGATGCACAGTGACATCAAAGTGTACCATCTATTTGATGTGCAGCAGTAATTCACTAAGCTTTCTCCCACAGCACCTTCCAAATCCGTGATCTCAGGGCAGCAGTCACATGGGAACACTACTAAGTGTCCCTTCAAGCCACACCCTGACTTACAGAGTCAGTGAGTCATTTGGCATGGAAACAGACCCTTTGGTCAAACTCATCCATGCCAACTGAGTTTCCCAAACTAAATAAGTCCCACTTGTCTGCATTTGGCCCATGTCTTTCTAAGCCTTTCCTATTCATGTCCCTGTCCAAATGTCTTTTAAATGTTGTAACCGTACCTGCATCTACCACTTGCTCTGGCAGTTCATTCTACATAGAAATCACCCTCTGTATGAAAAAGTTGCCCCTCAGGTCTGTTTTAAATCTTTCTCCTCTCACCTTAAAAATATACCTCCTAGCTTTGAACTCCCCCACCTTAGGGAAAATACTTTTGCTGTTCACCTTATCTATGCCCCTCTTGATTTTATAAATCTGTCTCAGGTCACCCCTCAGTTTCCTACGCTCCAGTGAAAAAAAGTCCCGACTATCCAGCCTCTCCTTATAACTCAAACTTTCAATCTTTTTCTGTGCCATCTCCTACTTCCTATTGCAGGGCAACCCGAATTGTACACAGTACTCCAAAAGTGGCCTCACCAACATCCTGTGCAACTGGATGTCTCAACTACTATACTCAATAGTCTGAGCAACGAAAGCAAGCATGCCAAGTGCCTTCTTTATCACCCTGTCTACCTGTAATGTAACTTTCCAAAATCTATCTACTTGAACCCCTAGATCTCCCTATTCGACAATGCTCCCCAGGGCCCTACCAGTCACTGTATACCTCCTGTCCTGTTCATCTTACCAAAACACAACACGTTGCATTTAACAAAATTAAACTCCAACTGCCACGCCTCAGTCCATTGGCTGAATTGATCAAGATCTTTTTATAATCTTAGATAACCTTTTCCACTACACCACCAATTTTGGTGTCATCCACAAACTTATTAACCATACTTCCTAAATTCTCCTTCATTGTCACTGGCTCAACATCCTGGAACTCCATTCCTACCTTCACTGTGGGTGTCTCTATAGTCCAGGGAATGCAGAGAATCAAAAAAGCAGCTCACCACCACCTTCTCCAGGGAAACCGGTGATGGGCAATAAATGTTGGACCAGCCAGTGACCACGAATGACATCCCATGAATAAATAAAACAAAATCCTACACACATGTATTCTATTGCCATATCCCTTTATTGCCTTGTCCTTCACTGCCTTTACCCAATTCCTAAATGATGGCATTGTCTCTGCTTATTAATTGGAATACTTATTTGTCATTGGAATATGTAATATCGTAACTAATCCACAATTATTGATTCTGCAAAGATTCATGTGTTGCATTTCGTAAGTGGTGGGGTAAGGAGAACATCTACTTCTCTTAGCTGAGAAGTGGAGCTGACACTGTGCATTTAAATAGCACAATTAATTCTGATTGCCTTAAAGGGAAGGATGGAGATATCTTCTGCCATTCAAGTCATGGAAGTGAACAAAGGTAACTGAAGCTTGTAATAGATTTTTTTGAGCCACCACTCTGAAATTCTGAAAAAAACCCAAAGTGCAGTATTGGAATTCTAGGAAGCCAGAGCTTTCTTGCAAGAAACTTTACCCGATAATTAAATAGGTTGCTTGAAACCAAGATAGTAATAAAACTGCTCAGTGTTCAGCTTGAAAAGTTGATAACTTGGCTAACTTATCTGGGAAACTGGCCACATGATCCACAAAAAAATATTGTGCTCAGAAATTAAAGTCATTTTTAAATCTAAATGATGAATTGCTGGAAAATATGAGATACGCTTAGTGTACAAAATATTCTCATCAGAATGTGTCAAAGTTTCCTTTCCAAATTAATTGATAAGCAGGGAGATATTCATTCAACCCAATAAACATTGAAGATGGAGCCTGGAAACATTTTGTCTCACTGAAATTTGAGGTATATAACCATCTTTTGCTGTTTCTCACTGTTTGTAAGTCAAGAAACAAAGTTCATAGCTGGGAAGCAGGAATTAGTCATATTAGACATATTATGTCTATTAGACATTAGACAGGCCATATAAATAGGAAATTTTTATAGTACATCTTATACTCAATGGATCCATTACATGTACTAATGGGACAGTTACTTTACATGACTTTCACAATTTGGTTGAGTGCATGACAATGAGGGCAGCTACTATATTTTTCACCTGTGTGGCTAGTTATCACTGAAAACCAGAGCAACCTTGTTACTGTTCACAGGTAGAACAGCATGTCTTTCAACATAGGATAACAAATGGTGCAAGGACTCTGTGCTGCCCTTCAAAATGAAGCAAATCATCTAATTTCAATCATATGTATTATTACATTATCATTTGCTTTCACGTTCAAACTCTACAATCTTACTTATTGTTCACATTATTGCCTTGCAGCTGTTTTAAATAAGGGGAACTTGGAAGAACTAATGTCTTATTCATGATAATAGAACTAATTACTTCTAAACATACTTTGTCAAGGTAAGCGTAGCTCCAGACTTTTCCATCAGAGAAAATGCGGGATATAATCCTGCCCTTTTCATCATAATCAGTTTTCTCACTCATTGCACCACGTTGAACTCCAATTACTTTCCCAGTAGACGAATAAGAGACATTAACTGCAGCTAGACCACTGCTTGGGAGCCAAATTGTGGGACGACCCAATGCATCATAAATAATCCTCAACGTGAATTTTCGATGATCATCATAAATCTTCTCTGTCCGGGAATTGCGATCAAAATCAATGGAAAGCAAGTTTCGTCCATGCAACTGTATAAAATTAAAGAACCACAATCATAATTGTGTCTCTCCTTACTTAAAACAGACCACATGTGGAATTACTGGGGCAATTTATTTCATTTTAATTATAATGTCTTACGCCTGGTGTAGATGATTGAATTTTGTGCCTTTGCCAATAAAGGAGAAAGCTTTCAAATGACATTATCATCAATATGATTTAAGTGATTGCAATCTGGCAGGAGTTCAAAAAAATTGCAATGCATTCAGCCTTTGCTAATGAGCATGAACACCACAAATACCAGTTAAATTATCAAATATTCTCCTTGTTCAAATGAAATTTTAAAGAAATCACACCTTATGTGATTTACAGGTTTTGAAAGAAAAGAATTGCATGCAATATGCCTCTCAAAGTAAATTATTTTCTACAAGTATAGATCATTGAAATATAAAGTATAATGGTAGAGATACATGACATAAAGAATCTTGATAAAGTAATTGTGAAGTTTTTGCAATTTTGTTTTCTGTTTAAAAGGAAATTGTTTTCATGGAAGTCACTGTATACTGTGTATTTAATGGGTTTGCATCTGTGATTCCTCTAAAGGAAAGAATAAAAGAATGAGTCAATATCTGATCATCTCTTGTACCTGCTAGTGGCCAAATTACAGAATCAAATGACTCCATTCCCTGTATGTAGTCAAGATAAGTTGTTTTGTATGAGCTATTTTGCATTGATGATCACGGGGCATGTGAAATACAGTAATATTTGTGTTGAGTGGAAAACAGACTGATCATTTGATAGCACTCATTTGGCACGACTGCTTAAGGAAAATTTCATCTCAAAATCTATTGGACTCACTTTAGTGTCCTGCATTCACATAATCAATGGTATTGAGATTTGAATGGAAAAAATCGGTATGGATCCGTTGAACTGATTAGCCTGTAGATGTGTTGTAAATACTGTGGAAAGTCAGTTTCACCATATTCTGATCCTGATCCAATTTTTGGTCAGATCTGAGGCGAGGTATCTGAGTTTCCATTTAAAACAGGCGCATAGTCATTACTGCATACAATTGCAAACAAGGAAGGATGCTGCTCCACTTTAGTTTCAGTGTCATGCTGGATGCCAAGTTTCCAGTGCACCTAGGAATCTAGAGAAGCAGGGAGATTTGGTGACCTGTTCAGATGGGAGAATCTTTAAATATCTTGCAATAAGTGCTAGTGACTGTTCATCGATGGACCACGTTACTGTTTAAAATTTACTTGCTGCCAGCATTTGAGTTTAAATGAGTTTTTGTGTAGTTGCTGTTAATTAAATTGTTTTCTGGCCCCAAGCTCCCTTTCAGGATACCAATGGGTTGCCAATGGGAATCATTTGAGCTAATATGTTTACAGGAAGCTGATGAGTATAATGATGCCAAGTAGCTTAGATCTCTTGAACTGTACTCAGTGCCCATCTGTGGATACCACACATTTGCACCTGGAGGTGGAACTGAAATTACTTCTGATAGTGTTACGACAGCAGCTTTTGACGTCATTGTGACTACATATGTTTGCTGTACTACCTATAATGGTGAATATTTCTTCTCAGTTATGGCAAAACGTGCTCACGTGCATGAGAGAAGGTGGCCTGCCAGGGCCACGAAACACAAGAGTTGTATGATTGGAATCTTGTCATCTGTGCCACTAACCATTTCTGTGGACGCTGCCATATCATGCTGAAAATAACTATAGGGATATATTACCTCAGCGACTGGGTCAATTGAGAGTAAAAAGCAGAGCTGTGTCGTCTGCTGTAAAGATGTGTGCCTACCATGTAAAAAAAATGCTGGCAAATCAGGGTGAATCATGGTCAACTGTGGTCTAATACTTGATTGTATTTCTTCAATCAATGAGTGCTTAGAAGGCACAAATATTTCAGAAGTCATTTCAAAACAGAAACACTGAATCTGCACCATGAAACTACAAAGCTCAATAGCTTTTGATCTGTACAATTTCTAATAAACATGTTTATAATGACCTACCCTAAGTTTCCTTCCAAACATGATCACTTTTCCCTTGGTCTGTTCCTTCCTGAGGCGCCATTCGATGGAGTTCAACCAATTTTCCACTGGTAGAGTGATATTGCGCCGTCCAACTGTGGGACTTATAGTCCCAGCAAGGATATGAGGTTCACTATAAAAGCTGACACCCATTCCATTTGCATACATCACTCGAAGTGTGCCATTGTTGCAAAGCTGATAACTGTTTCTCACTTGATCTGGGGGAAGAATTGCAGCAAAGTAAGGAACCTGTTCACTTTAAAAAGTTCACATTTGAAAACAACTCATTAGAAAAAACACACAGTAGCACAAGTGATTTCTTAAATAAATCAAGTGACATCAAACACATAACCTAAAGCCTACCAGTCTAGTAAATTATGCAGACAGAATTTCAGTGCTAGTGTTCCTTTCCCTGTTAGCCTTTGTGTTTCATTGATATCATACATCAACTTACAAGTGATTCAATATTTTATTTGGTTTTCTTTACTGGCAATAATCCTTCGATTTCTATCCCCCAGTTTCAAATATAGACAAGCGCTGCATCAATATAAAATGAATTTTACTACATAAGGTTCAATTAATGTTCAGCACATAACAGTTTCCAGCCCAGGGTTGGTTGGGAGACAGTGTAAGATTTTAATTGCACAGCAAGAATGGATTCAAGATGGCCAAATTACATAAATTATTAATAAAATTATAACAAAAGTAGTTCAGTAAGAATTGTCAAATCATATTTACACTACATGCAAAAGTGCAAGTAAAATATTGTCACTGAACCAAGCACTCTTTATTCTTTCAGTCTTTCAGTATAAAATCAACTGAAATGTTTTGAGTTAACAAGAAAAAGGTACTTGTACCAGTAGAGTTGTTAAAATAAACTTCCTCTTTAAATCAAATTGACGTATAAGGCAAAACTTCTACAATGACTGCTACACAAATAATAGATGTTACAAAATGCTGATCTCAATATCATAACAGATGACATAGATCACATTAAATATATGGCACAGAAGCAGACCATTCAACCCAACCATTCCTTATTAGTTTTTATGCTTCACTTGAGTTTCCTCTTATGTTTCCTCATATAAATATATCACTGTAACCCTCTATTCCTTCTAATATGTATGTCTAGTTTTCCCTTAAATATGTGCATACTATTTGTTTCAACCACTCCCTGTGGTACTGGATCCCACATTCTCACCACTCTCGGGCAAAGAAGTTTCTCTGAATTCCCCCTTGGATTTCTTTGTGATTATCTTATGTTGCACTCGTCCCCACAGGAGGGAACAGTCTCTGTATTTACACTAACAAAATCCTTTCATAATTTAATGTCTGTATTCGGTCACTCTTTGCCTTTATTTTGAGAGCGAAGAGATGCAGGCTGTTTATCATTTTCTAATATTTAGACACATGTCTCTGGTATTGTCTTGGGAAATCTTCTCTCCATCCTTTGTATAGTGCCTCTATCCTTTTTATAATATTGCCACTAGAACTGTACACAGTACTATGAGTGTGGTCTAAATAAGGTTAAGTACAGGCTTAGAGTAATTTCCTTACTTTTCAATTACATGCCCCTAGTAATAAAACCTATTGGTTAGTTGATTTTTTGATGGCCATGTTAACCTATGGTGCAAAGTTTAGTGATCTGTGTATCTACAACGAATCACTGTAAAAGCACAATTATGCATTTTTACCAAACTTAGCACCTTGCTATTGCAGGTCAGAAGTTTGTTTTTAAATATGCTAAATAGTTTACCTTGAACCAGGGTATATGATGCATCTACTGAAGAAAGATTAGTGGTGACAGTAACATCATCTTCTCGGTTAGAAGTTTCAATGTCAATATTGATTGACTTCTCCATTTCCCGATGCAAGCTTGTCACTACACCAGTGGGACGTGTCAAATTTGTCAGTCTTCCTACACTGTCATAACTAAGTTCAAATAAATGATGTTAGGTCAACCGATATCAAGCATTTCAAACTCATCAGTAAGTTTCAGAGAGAATTAGATATGTGAGAGTGAGTTACAGAGAGAACAAGAAAGACTTGCAACTTAGGGCACACAAACAGTGAATATTTATAGTAAGGTTACTGTGAAACTAAAACATTTGATTTTAAACTTTATGGTAAATAATGAATGGAAGAATTAAGTTATACAGACTTCATTTTAAAATGATCTCCACTTATAATATATATAGAACCTTTTTTGTATGTTACGATGTTTTGTGTATTTTTGTTGATGTTAAGCAAAGAAGTGCAATGGGAATTGTATTGACATCATACTGAAATTGTCAGACCAAATATGTCCTGATGTTATAATGGTTTTGTGATGCAATAGTTCTTATATCACCATGTTATTTCAGACAGTTAATTGCTGAAACATGCACTGCCACATCTGCATTGCAATGTAACTGACGAAGGTTTCCTTGCAAGTAAGCAATTGGTGACCTTTTTTGCTGACCTTCATCCATACAGCCCGTTAGCAAAAGTTGAGATTGATTTTAAAAAAACAGTTATCAACAAACTATTGAGTTAGATATCTCATATCTACAATGCAGTAATAGTTAGATCTTGGATCCTTTTGACTGTACTTTCTAAATGTTCACAAAGTTGCTCAAAATGAAGAACTGAAAATGGCTTTAAGAAGCCATTATACATAACATACAGAGAAAGTTTTTTAAAATATAAATTTTATGCTTTAAGCAATTCTTGGGGATAAAAGCTTATGCTCAATTTTCAAACATGAATGTCATTTAAACACATGGCGCAAACACAACCTTTTGTTCAAAACTCGAGTGATCAAGTATTAGGTCACTCCAATTAATCACCAGATGTTGTAGATTTACTGTAATACTCATTAATTTAGCTTTACAGACATCACTTAGGATGTCACCTGAATTTGCCTACCTGCATTCATTTACATACTAATAATTACATTAATTAAAGTCGGTGAGGTTACAAAATAGAAGAAATGTGACCTAGAATTTCTGCTGCTTTCTTATGCTAAGGAAAATGGAACACTCATTCCCTTTCTCTTTAGCAGTTTCGGTAAATACACCTTGACATAGGATGGAATTTTGACTGTAACATTATCCAAGTACCAATCATGATCTAAAGTCTTCACATATCAATAAGAACATGCAATCAGTAAGTAAATAACTCTTACTCAAAAAAGGTTGTCCAACCAATGTCATCAGTTTTAGTTGCCAGGAGGCCACTATTCCCGTTGTACGTAAGCACAATTAGCTCCTGGTTCTTTATTACTACTGTCTTTAGCTTTCCATTAGCATCAATGGTCAGGGAAGATGCCTGGTTGTCTGACACCAGATGCCGTGGCACCCCATTGCTATCCCTTCGGATCCTTAAAGTGTTTCCATTGTTGTCAGTTACTTCCATAATGTCATTATCTGGGCTGTAGGAGAAATTGTATATGTAGTCACCGGTGACCAAGCTCATTGTGTACTGGTGTAACCCATTTGAATTGAAAACATATAGCTCCTGCTCAGCTGCTGAAGCAACCTCATATAAGCTCATCGAGTTCATTTGTGGCTTGTTTTGGTTAACTGCTCTGATGCGAATGTTCCCCAGGTCAGCAATGAAAATAGTCCCGTCTGGTGAGACTGCAAGCGAGGATGGAGAATTCAGCTTGGCATCTGTTGCATAACCATCATCCCCTGAGAAACAGTCACAGTTAACATCATTCTTACAGTCGCAGTCTGATGCCATCCCTGCCAGCAGGGAGATTTCCCCATTGGTTGTCACCTGCCTTACACGGTTTATCTTCTTCTCATCAGTTTCTGCAATGTAAAGTATGCCTGTGTGGGAGACAGCAATGGCACTGGCAGATTCCAGTGCAGAGTGAATGGCCAGCTTGCTGAGTGAGTAATCTATGCCAGGGACCTGACAGTGCATGGGTCGGCCAGCTATTATGCTGACCTGGTGGTTCTCAGTAATCCGCAGAATGACATTATTCTCCAGGACATAAAGAGAGTTATCCATTGGATTGATGGCAAGATCCGTTGGCCATTCTAATCGTACCTAAGTAGACGAAAATGGAAATTTACAGCATGGAATCCGGCAGTTTAAACACAGAAATGAATTTTTTATGAAAAGGCATTATATGGCTTACATGGCTTTTAAAGTAGTTTTGGTTTTTTTTCAATACATACTGCAGTTAGGTAGATATTTGTTTGTATGAAGGTATTTCAATTTAAATGGAGGTCACCTAGGCTGAAAATTGAATTGTCGTCTTCAATGTTCTCATCAAATGTCACACTCTTGTCTCAAACTGAACCTTTTCCTGGTGTAATGCCTGTTGCTGGTGACTCTCTTTTTGCAATAGAAACTGCAGTATATTAAATGTTCTTTCATAACAGGCAAGCCTCCCCTTACACAATAAGAAGTGTCACACCAGACTTGAAATGTTAATTCCGTTTCCGTCTCTACAGATACTGCCAAACCTGCTGAGTTTCTCCAGCATTCTCTGTTATTTCGGACTTCCAGCATTTGCAGTACTCTGCCTCAATACAACCCTTGTTTGTGAATTCTCCCCATTTTCACAACTTCTGATAAAGTTTTCTGAGGTAGTGCAGATCCCTTATGAATTCCTTCATAATAGGAATCAAATTCTGCTTCACCAAAATTTCAAAATTAATTTCCCATGATTTTACTGCAAGACCCCATTCTACTGTGTGGTCTGATGAAACACATTTTGCTTATTCCCTCTAGAACTGAACCCAACAGAAGTATCTGTTTCTACACTGCACATTTTTATGTGCCCTAAGACACTGTAAATATTGACAACTTTGATTGCTGTTTTGTAAACTTTTTGCTGAAAGTTTTAGAAGGTTAATTTTTAATACAGCCACATATAATTGCCTATAGTGTTAAATGAATTGTTGTATGAGCTCAGACGTAGTGACCACCTTGACTGCCAATTGTAAAATAAGATACATTCAAAGAATTATAAGGTGTTCAAATACTTTTCAGCTCGGTGAAACTCTACCTAACTAAAGTATTAAATTATGGTTTGCCGGATTAATTTAAAAAATCCTATGGAAGACAGATATTGCCTTTTCTATAAGATTTTACCTGGCTTACATCCATGCTAGAATCACAGCTCAGAGGGCGAATTGCTGTTAAGTCATTGGAACCAAGCAATGTGGAAATAATTCCATTTTGGTCAACTTTCCTAATCATGGTTGCATCGACAAAATACATCAGTCCATTCTTATCCACTGCTATCCCTGGGAAGAGCACAAGAACAGTTCAAATCATTAAGGTAAACTCTTGCAACAAATTCACATATGAGTTAGGAGCAAGAGTAGGTTACACAGCCTCTTGGGATTGTCACACCATTTAATAAGAGTATGGCTAATCAGATTGTGGCCTCAACTCAACATTCCCATTAATCCCTGATTTCATTTTAATCCCTTGTTAATCAAGAATGTATCTACCTCTGCCTTAAAAATTATCAATAACTCTGTTCCCCTTTCTATCTCTCTGAAGGGGAGTTTCAAAGATTCTCAAATGTCTGAGAGAAACAAAATTCTACTCAATGAGATTAAAAAATTACCTTTCAGAGATTCAGGTTCAAATTTGGCCCAAAACGTCCTTATAAATTTAGACATTCTAAATTTTCTTAAGGCATTAACCCACAGCACAGAACTGTTCACAAGAAAGCGCTAATTCACAAAGAGCTGGGAATTTCACGCGAAGTTGCCACACCAATGTTTGATGTGTGAAATTTCATAGTGGTACTGCAGATGATGGTATTTTGAGGCAGGTGTTGGCATGTTGGTGTGGTAACCTAGAGATCTGCAATTGACCATGTAACAGTTGGGAGTCTTCAACACTGTTCCTTGTTCCAAACATGGAAAATGTTCACCTATCCAGCATTGACTTTCCCCACCTTGTTCAGCACAAAATGAACAAGAAACAGTTGGAAATCTGACTGAACTTTACCTTTCAGACTCTATGATAACTTACTATTCAGTAATTTCAAAGGGGGTAAGGGGATATCAATTTAACTAAAGCAAGGGAACAATGCTTTAATTAATTTAAGATTTTGTAGTCCAGTACAACTCAATAGATCATTACCTATTGACATTCTGACATGGTTGAAGATGAAATACATATTCATTAGTATTTACTTGGAAACTACTGGCTTGTCCTGCTCTTGAATACTGTTTGCAGAAGCCTCTACGAATAATCACTGATTGCCAGCCAACGAATAAATCTTAGAGTTTTGTCAACTTTTATCAGAGCTGGTCAATTCCATATAATATGATCCTCATTGTGTTTACCATTTTGATTCCAAATAACAATGGTGAGTTGTATTAATGCATGTGTTCTGTAATCATCTGAAAATATATTTCAATCTTTCAGTCTATCTTTTACTCATTTGTATACTATATTAGACAACACTCGAAAACAAAATATGGTCAAACCTCATGATGACCTCAGTTTTAAGGTAGTTGGATTGTTCTTTCAGAAACTCATTTTAAAACTTCTTGAGTCACTGATTCTTTTAAAGTGATTTTCAGATATAAGATGGCTAGAAAAAAGCAGATTTGTTTGATGAAATTATTCAAAGAGATCAGAGACATAGATTATCTGTAAATGATTTCTCTCCAAATCTGCACAGTGATTAATTTTCAATTTGCAACTACAAACTGTCTTAATTTGACCAATACATTAAAAAAAAGTCTGGATAAATTGGATAGCCCCTGAAATGAGGCATGGTGATCACGATGCATGATTATTCCACTTTTATTCAAAGTGACGCAGGTCACATGTATTCTTTGTATTACGTCTCTGCAGGGAAGTGATAGCCTAGTGGTATTATTGCTCAACTATTAATCCAGAGAACCAGATAATGTTCTGGGGACCTGGGTTTAAATCTCACCATGGCAGAGGTTGAAGTTGAAGTAAATAAAAAAAATCTGGAGTTAAAAGTCTAATGATGACCACGAAGCTGTTGTCAGGGAAAAACCTATTTGGTTCACGAATGTGCATGAAACTGCCATCTTTACTTGGTCTGGCCTACATGTGACTCCAGACTCAGCAATGTGGTTGACACCTAATTTCTCTCTGGGCTGTTAGGGATAGGTAATAAATGGTGGCCTAACCAGTGATGCCCACATCCAGCGAATGAATAAAAAAAATGATTGTGACATTCAGCTCAGAGTTGAGGAGCTGTTGAGTGACTGCATGCCTCTGCAGGGGTCTAGAATTTGTAGAAAACTAATACCACTCCTGCATTAATTGAAGTCAAACTGCAACTCTTAAAAGTGATGTACGTTCTAGCTGCGACAGGAATTGGATATAGTAAACAAACAGTTAAGCAGCAGTCCACTTGGTGTAGTTAGATGCACAATCGTGGCTAGAACCAATGCTAAGCTGAAGACCTTGATGCACAAGGCGAAATGTCCTCTTGCCGTAGACCTACCTAGTAGATTGTGAGATAGCAGTGGAGCAGGCTGCTATTGAACTCAATGTCAACCATCTAGTCCTAAGGACCTGGACACAGTTCCTTAGAAGTTTAACAATTACATATGAATGATCAAAGTCAGTGAATGTAATTCCACCCATCACATTCTACCAAATATACCACTCAATTCCCAAGTTGCTCTGTATGGCATGACCTTTTCACTTGCCAACTGCGATCAGTAGCAACCACAACTCAATTCCACCTCAACCTCTCACACTTAGCTTGGCTGAAAACTGTACATGCACAGTTTGTACACTCCACTAGCTATTCAACAAGCACATTGCCCAGGCACACTGAACCATATTCACTGGCACAGCAACCAAGCTGCAAGTTGTTGATGATCCGTTTAAAGAATGCAGTGAATTTCTTTTGTGCTGTTCAATGCATGATTAGCCATGTATGTTTAAGAGGGCCAGTAAGCTCAGCAATATGATAAATAGGTCCAATAAAGTGTCTCCAGGGGGTTGGTTTAGCTCAGTTGGCTAGACAGTTGGTTTGTGAAGCAGTATGACGCTGGCTGCTTGGCTTCAATTCCCACACCAGCTGAGGTTACCATGAGAGTCTCCTTCTCCCCTCACCTGAGGTGTGGTGGCCCTCAGGTTAAATCACCTCCAGTTGTCTCTCTGTAATGAGAGCCCTGCGGTCAGGAAACACCATGGTGACTTCATTCATCTCTAACTCATAGAAATCCATGCACACAGTGCCATTTTATCTTTTCTTAAATCAACAGCTGGACAGTTTAAGTAAGGATCTGTTATGATGCAGGATCTGATCATAGCATTTTCTAACTAAAGTTGTCTTACCTGTTGTTAACCCTGTATCATACATCTTAGGAGTAGATATATGTGAGATAAACGAACCTCACATTAATTCACACTGATGAAGAACACAAAATTGCCTCCTTTATGGGATAGAAGTTTTACTTGTGACGTCTTTTCATGAACTGCCCTGTTTAGCCACTGAAAATACACTGCCACTCAATGTTACCGGTGGATATGGTAACTTACAGTTGTGAAAATGCAGCAATTACATGGGTAAAATCAAACAGAAAGTGATCACATTTGGACACGGAGGAAAATTATTGGTAAAGGCAATACCTCTGGGGCTCATCAGCGTAGCTTCAACTGCCTTCCCCCCATCACCGCATCTGGCTTCATCAAATGGCAGGCACTGCTCTCCAGTCCCTGCTACCACTTCCGAATTGGCAGCAAGATCCCTTGCTCCATTGAGACTCTTGATGCGGATGATCTGACGACTGTTTGTATCCGAGATATACAGTGCCCCTGTGACAGGATCAACCGCCATGAAGTATTTATGGGCGGGGTTGTTGCTTTAAAATGAAAGAGAAGCACAAATTCTATTGAAGTTCACATGTTTAAGACATTGTTACCAATACATAAAGGGTATCTTCATCACAGCAATATTTCGAGGGAAATAGTAGGAACGGACGATGCTGAGAATCTGGTATAACAATGTGTAGAGCTGGATGAACGCAGCAGGCCAAGCAGCATCAGAGGAGCAGGAAAGCTGACGTTTTGGGTCTGGACCCTTCTCCAGAAATGGGGGAGGGGAAAGGGATTCTGAAATAAATAGGGAGAGAGGGGGAGGCGGATAGAAGATGGATAAAAGAGAAAATAGGTGGAGAGGAGACAGACAGGTCAAAGAGGCAGGTTTGGGGCCAGTAAAGGTGAGTGTAGGTGGGGAGTTAGGGAGGGGATAGGTCAGTCCAGGAAGGACGGACAGGTCAAGGAGGCGGGATGAGGCTGGTAGGTAGGAAGTGGGGGTGGGGCTTGAGGTGGGAGGAGGGGATAGGTGGGAGGAAGGACAGGTTAGGAAGGCAGAGACGAGCTGGGCTGGTTTTGGGATGCGGTCGGGGGAGGGGAGATTTTGAAGTTTGTGAAGTCCAATTGGTACCATTGGGCTGCAGGGCTCCCAAGCGAAATATGAGATGCTGTTCCTGCAACCTTCGGGTGGCATTGTTGTGGCACTGCAGGAGGCCCAGGATGGACATGTCGTCCAAGGAGTGGGAGGGGGAGTTGAAATGGTTCATGACTGGGAGGTGCAGTTGTTTATTGTGAACCGAACGTAGGTGTTCCACAAAGCGGTCTCCAAGCCTCCGCTTGGTTCTCCGATGTAGAGAAGGCCACAATGGGAACAGCGGATACAGTAAACATTAGCAGATGTGCAGGTGAACATCTGCTTGATGTGGAACGTCTTCTTGGGGCCTGGGATGGGGGTGACGGGGGAGGTGTAGGGGCAGGTGTAACACTT